GGGGGCCTGCTTTTCATTCATTTTTATCAAAATACTCTCGGAGGAGGACTTGGTTGAATATGAAGCGGATAGAAAATCCCCGAAAAAACTTAGTATGAAATTGTGTAAACTGTCCTCACTGTCCTAACTAGGCGGAACAGTCTATTTGATTTTTATGGGACATTTATCCCTCGTAATAATTTCATCTTTTACCTATCCCAACTGGGCATCAAATCACATGGTCTTAGGCCTCATTGACCAGTCAAGGACCATTAGGTCCATTGTCCAGTACAAATGATAGCCCAGCCCTTCCAACATTAATTCCTTTTAGGTAATGTTACTTGTGTTATAGGATCGTGGTTTCCTTAGCTTAAACTCTACAGCCCTTTTCAGAGAGTTGACTAAACGTTTTGTTGCGATTTGTGTGGACATTGAATAGTAGGCAGTCTTTTTTCACTGTACAGCTTCGCAGCTGCTAAACCCTGTGAATGGGGTATTATAGGAGCCGTGAAATGAAATCAAATGCCAGTGCACTGTGTCTCTCAATAGCCGTGTTTCCTATCAGTGGGTGACAATGCCCACCGTACTGGCGTACCAACAGCGATCACAAGTGACTACCTGGTCAAACTCGCCGTGCTCCCCAAACCCATGTTGATAAAACCATAATGCACTATGATAAAGACTGGGGCGGTCGGAACGGGACTTTCAAAAGCTTCATACCTAACAATCGATAACAGCTACCTCTCAACTATGGGGTGATCTTAGAATCTAACCCAGGGTGCCCTATGTAGGAATTAATATCTTGCCGATCGGTCGTTCCTTTCAGGACTATGGTGAAGGAAATCTACTCAACCGGTCTGCATTGCGCTCTATCTACACAAACTAGGGGGCTCAAGGCTTTTCTCATGTTGCTGGGATCCGTTCATTTCTCTCTCTCTCCATACCTTGCAGCCTTATCAATCTCTACACCAAACTATTATTCTCTTGGGTTTGTTTTGGAGGCTGTTTGGCCTGCCCAATTGTTCCCTGGCACAGCTGTTTAGCATTTCCTTGCCTTGAGTGTATCCATCCCAAGTGGCTCAGGAATGGCGTATCAAATGTGACCCCAAGGAAGATGTTTTTAAGGGGTTTCGAGTGTTTTCAGAAATTTTTCGGCAATCTCCGACCAGTATTAACCGCCTATCACTGACAATGATCAAGCTTTCTTTCTACAGGGCTGAGGAACATTTGAACATGGCAGGAAATACATTTAGAAAATGAGTTTATGAGATCCTCCGTGCAGACCAGGTGAAGCCACATGATTGTACAGTGAAGGGGGAGTGCTGAGGGGGGAGGGAAGGCGCTGAGGGGGAAGGGTGGCTGGTTGAGAGGGGAAGGGACTTAGATTTCATTCCCACACGTTTTCGATTTGTGGCAATCCAAAACACATCAAGAACGGGAAAGGTTAATGTTCGTGTTGTTAAGAATGCAAACATGTGAAGCTGGAATAAAAACAATTCTCAACGGCCCAAAGCAGATATCTCAAGTAGGCAAAATTATTAAATTTGTTTTTTTTTATCCAACATAAATAATCAAGAGCAAACATTATTGGTTTTACCCCCAGCACAGAGAAATAAAACCTCAGCTCTTGCAAAAGTATACAGCTGGTCACAAAAATAAAGATTCAGAAATATTTTTGAAATCATAAAAATAATTGATTTCTCATCTTCTAAACATGAAACCACTACGTGAGATTCTTAAGTCAACGTGTGACACGTCTTGTGTGTGTCTGTATGGTCACAGATAGGTTGATGTAAAGACAAGAGATTAACGGTTGGGACATTTATGTCCCATCGTCATAAATAGGACAGTAAAAAGATCATTGGAAGCCTGGAATCAATAGCCAGCAACTGACACCCTTTTGAACCGGTCGTTTTCAGACAACATACAAAAACCGTGTTCTTCTCCAACTTTATGAGAAGACACTTTATTAAATCTGCCTAATTTGTTATTCCACTGACAGTTGCAATTGTGTCGGCAACTCCCAAGAAAGCATAAAATCTGACCGTAAACTGAATGAAATTTCAAGTTGGTGACAGGAAGACTAGGTGACGAGCTAACGTTTATTTCATCCAAATTATGATGACAACTCTTTCTTCGCCAATTTCTGGCCAGTAGTTATTAAGTCGTCCTAAATCAGAAATATGTACAGAATATCTCAAAATTATTAAATTTGGGTCACCCTTTTTGACATGTTTGCTGATTTGGAAGTAACTCTTTGCAATTATGAAGAGACTAAACTCATATCGAAACTGATAAAATATCAATGGTGGTTCATTTGAAAAATTGGAATTAAAAATTGTCTGGGAAGAATGTCTTTCCCATAAAACTTTTGCAGCAATTGACTGTAAAAATATTGATTTAAAATCATGTGTTGCAAGCTTCCCCATATAATCTAACTGCTTTTTAATGAATGCTATGAAAAATACAAACTTAATATCATAGCCATAGCCAAACAAGGACATAAAAATGTCAATGCTTTTTTTAAGAGCAACATTATGATTACATGTCTAGTTTATACTCATAAAAGAGCATCATTATGTTTCTGAAAACATTTTTTGCCCCCCATGTAACAAATGTATATTATTCTCACTCCACAGTCACAATAAGAACTGAACATAGGAACAGTAACCAGAATTAAGCGTGTGATATCAAGTTGAAACCGTGAAATTAGATTAAAAAACAAACTGAATAGAAAACTATGAATTTTACTTGCATTAGGTATCAATTCAGACATCAATCAAAATTTAACAGATCTGTATAGTTCATGAAAGCAATTAGAAATAGCATTACATGAAATTGGAGATGGGCAGATATCTCCTGCACATGGTAATGGACAATATCACTTAGAAAGTGTGCACTGCAATGTATGACAAGTATTAGCTTACTGCCACACGTAAATGATATTTCTCTTATTCCTGGTGTCCTATTGATTTGATGGATAGAGATACACAATAGTCATTTGACACACACGTTCATTGTCTATGTCATGCACATTTCAACATGAAATTAACATCCTTCTATATTATTGACAGTAATGAATGTCAGCTATGCCACAACTGTGTTTTGAGGGTAGAAATAAACTAAAGTCAGCCAACCTAAACTTAGATACCTAAATAACTACCAACGTTTGCTGACTTACACTAAACCGGAAGGTGGCTTGGGGGTAGAAATCAACAAACACAAGTATGTTGATACTGTTAATCAAATATGAAATCAGTGTGGTTAGTGATGAAATGGGACTTCCCCACAAGTTTTTCTCATAATTTGATGACATATGTCTTGGTCGTCCAGAGTAGGGGAAACAGATCATGCCCTTTCCGTAGTAAATATTTTATTTTTGCAGCTTTTTCATTACTGGATGTTGAATTTGTTTGGCCATATACCAGTGTGTTAGTGCTTATACAGCCCCTTCCGCCTTCTCAAAACAATCCCTTCTTGCAAGGATAACAAGTTTTCCATCAGCACGGTATTCAGGCATGAAGAGGAAGGCCAACAGAGTCAAAGACTTGTGCACATGACTAAACCTCGGACCTAAAGAGAAAAACGCAATATTGGATTTCTTTTCTGATATATCCAGTGCCTGTTCGAATGGCTGCTTTGGGGGGAAGATGGAGGGGGAGGGACTCAGGGGGGTGAGAAATCTCCTTTCGTTTTATTTTCTGGATCAGTTCCCTTGAAAATCCCCTCTCTCCAAACTTGTGGCTGTTCAGGCCACAGATTAGGGGGAAGAGTACATGGGACGAGGGTTGAAACAAACGAGCATCACTTTCGCTTCACATCTACTGCATGATTGAAATCACAGATACATAGTTAGACTGATTTAGTACAGAACACACTTCCAGGGTATAGCCGACATCAACCACTTTAACAGTAAGACATTGCAGTTTCATTGAAACTAAACAATAAACTTGTCCATGAAGAGGGGAAGAAGTTGCGTTTCTGTTACAATCTAATTGGGGTGCTTGTCTGTGTGTCTTCTTGTTCTTTCCTCCTTGTTATATACACATGTACATATCGTTCTCCCCGAAATAGACAACTTGGCCAACATTCTACCACACTGGCAAGGCTCACATTGCAATGTTTTCTTATCCACTGGGCGAAACAACAGCATATTTCCTTGCTAAAAACTTGATCAATTCCGAAACTCAAAACCTGTCAAATTATGATGACTGACATCTTGGCAATCAATTACCTCAATGTTTTTTTAAAAAAACACTTTTATCATGAATTCCCCCCCTCCCAAGCCCCAAGAAGCAAATTTTGGAATGTTACCATCAAAGATCAGAGATACGAGATGGGACGGTTCAGTCCTGGTGTTGATGTTTAAGACTCAAACTGCCAAAGACTTTCCGTAAGTTATCTAAAACTATGCTTCTATAAACTTCAAATAAAAGCCTCTAAATTTTTAACCCTGTTTTCCAAGACATTATTCTTTGAAATTTGATTTCATGGCCACCGAAGGGGGAAATGGAGGTGAGAAGGTTAACAAGCACTGTGGCCAGATGCAATGTTTCAAAAGAATGTAGTGCATCATTTTTCAATAGAGTGAGTGAACCTGCTCTTCCTCGGCTAACTTGACGAGATCTTGAGTCGCACAGAAAAGAACTTGCAACTCCTTTTAGTTCTAAACTTTGAAAATTTCAACAGAATTAAGCTTTTAACTTGAATTGATATTCACATTTCTCATTTTGAATATTAAAGTCTAGATTTGTAATGGGCTCAAAGTTCTCCTGATTTTCTCTCATTACTACTGATATTTATTTCTCAGAGAATAAATCTAAAATTCAAACAAAATAATCAAAGAGAAGCTTGAAGTTTGAAAAAGATATTTTTTCAAAGTTTTCATTTTGTTTTTAGGTGCATGAAATTTAGGTCCATATGAAGATCCTGTATCATTTTTGTGATTGACATAAAAAATGTCAATTTCATGAAATAGACATAAAAAGTTGGTATGGATGAAATAAAAGGGTTATTTTTACCTGACTCGCTGTTGTTTTCTGCATTGTGTGAGGAATTAGTATTTGGCTGACTAGATGGCACGGGTGTATCCCCAGACCGCGAGGACTGTGTATCATCGGCTTGGCTGTAATTCAAACTTTGTGATGGCGGCCTCTGAAAAAACAAACATCAGCACCATGTACATATAAACTTTAAAGCACATTTCACTGCAAATAGAAACATTTTGAAATCCAATTAAACATATTTTTTTCATAAATTTCATTTCATATGACCACCCTAGTAGAAAGTTGCAAATTTACTGCATCAAAACATTATTTTTTTTCAATTTAATGAGGAAAGGTTGTGTCAATGTTGTTAATTTTGTGCGATACATTTCCCATTTGATTGACAGGGGGATTTATTTGCATGTTTCAGGTGATATTCCTCAACTGGGGTCAACGAGGCAGGGTAACGAGGGGGGTTTACAGCGGCCTGTATACAAAGTCACCTCTTAGTCTCAGGATACCATATACATAATGAGTTTTGCTCGTACACACACAATGTTTGCTAGTTTGAGCTAGGACGCCGGGAACAAAATACACCAGAGAAAGGGACCGCTTTTACCATAGAGGCCCATGGAGTAGGCTTTCTCTAGTTTTTCTTACATTCGACCACTCCTGCCAAATCTATTCTAGCGATAATCTCATATTGAGGTCCTTGAAAGGAGGTTTTAGACACTTTTACTAACACTTGCGCTCCTGGTCTTGAGCTAACTAGGTTTCTATTCATGGCTGAATGTCTTTGGGTTAGCGACACTGTATAAGGCAGGCAAGATTATATTTTTATTCATACAGATATGAAATGGATGGATTTATTTTCTGAAGCTCTCAAACTCGTGAGAAGAAAAAAGCCGTTTACTCGCCCTAGACTGGTGAATGTGGTGGACTTGGTAGTATCGTGTGTGTGTCTTTAACACTGTTGAAATCTCATTTGTGACGAGACCTCAATAGCAAGTCTGTTAAAGTTTGCAAAGCGCAAGAATGTCCCACAATGACTTCCTTGACACACAGGGTTAGAAAGAACTTTATCTGTCTACGATAAAGCTGTGCATTGTTGACAATTGTAAAAAGCCCTACCTATCCCATACAATTCTGGAGTGTCCGCGGTTCTCTGTAATTATCAAATACTTCCACTATATAAAAGACTGAAATCAACGCTGGTGATCTGAATGATCTTAAAGTCACCGTGGCTCAGATAGCCCGATAGCATTCACAGTGCTAAATGCAGAAAAATTTGCATGGTGCTGTTGGCACATTGACTTTGTCTACCTCCCCTTGGGTAATTTCTGATGGTCAGATCTACTCCTGCAACAACATGAGCTAAACCATTGCTCAGCATAATTGTTTTCTTAATTGTATGTGATTCAGTGGCAGTGGTAACAGAAATGTTCAGAGCAGTAGACACACAAAGACAATGCTCGGGGTGTGAATTATGTACTTGGTGTAGGTTGCCACCATGTGTGTGTGTTCATTTGTGACACTAAATCTGTCTCATCCACCACACATTCCACAAGTACAGACAGTATCATCAGTTGGTTTCATTCAAGTGTGTACTGATGAATGAAAGAGGAAATAATTTGACCTCAACAGATATATACAGAATTATGGGTAAAAATATCCTAACAATCCTGTCAAATAATGTAATTGAAAAAAAATAAAAACATTTTAAAAATATGAAATAAACTTGAAGGTCTCATTTTCAGTAAAAAGTTTATAAACCTCTAAGAACTCCAACTGAAACATAAATTATGAAAGTTATAACTTGACAGTGAAATAGACAAGCAGGTGTATCTTACAATGTTTATTTCGGTCAATTTAAGAACAAGAAGCACTTGTCTGTGCTAGCTGCACCTTATATAGCAGGCCAGTGTCATCGGATCGAGAGTACATGGCCCAAGGTTCATGCACGACTAGCGTCTGCTCCTGACTTGCGGCGTCGCGACGACACACCCGACACCCCTACCGACAGGTAGGGACAACGCAGGGTGACGGATCCAGACTGCCACCTATAGCGACGGTAGATATGTATCATAGCTGCTACCTATTACCTTAGATTTGATAGCGCCATGGCGCTGCCTCATTAGACCATAGGCTTATCAATGCTGAATCGCTTCTCTAGATATACACTATCAGCTGAACAGATACATTTCACCTTGATTAACATCTTAAAATCACCTGTTCTGCTAATGACAATTAAGTGACGGGGTATTTTCACTAAGTGGATCAGTTGTGTGGACTTCAGTGGAGATTAATGTGATGTTAAAGCATTCAGCAAGATAAGTTTAACAAAAATGGCTTGTTGAAGTATTTCCCCCTCATCAGATACTGCATGGCATTATTATATTACACTATAAATATGTACTTAAAATAACAAGCGATTGAAACTTATATTTTAATTGCTGATCCCTTGTACTTTCAAAAATGAGAGTAGATTATTCATGTGAAATTTAAAACATGGGCAGAGATGTTTAACATGGGAATATTGTTTATCATTAACTGTCGTATCGTGAATGTTTCTTCAACAAAATTACTGATTACTACATAAAAACCTAGATTACGGATAACTTTTTTTCCTACTTTCAGAAAGGCAACTTTTTTCTTGCTACGTGTAAGGTCAGAGGTCATATGCGGTACATGAACAGTAATTTGGATTTCCCATGACTCATTTTGATAAGGTGTGTCGTTCCATGGCCAGCCCCACACAGGTTTCCTGTACAAACTGCTGCACCAATGACTAATAGAAATAGTAGGAAGTGGGGTAGATCTGCCAATAAAGTTTTATTAACAAAAACAGAACATGTATGTATTGTAATAAACCTACTTTGTAAATGTTCATATTTTATACAAGGATAAGTTGTTTCTATCACATTTTCTACTCAATCAAGTGATGCTATATTTCAATTGACAGCATTATCACATAGCTCATCAATCACAACGTGTAAGTATGTACTAATTGTCGTTCATACATTAAAGGAGGAATGTGGAATATTTTGTTCATGATAAAATATTCCATGCCAGAAAAATGTATGTGATAAAGTCCAACATTATACCGTGTTAGTTACAACCCAAATATTAGTAGGATCAACTAGCTGCCAAATGACCTTTTATATTTATTGCCAGTAGCAGCTATCAGAACTAGACTTCATGTGGCAGTCAGGAAAATATCCATACTATGAAACAGACATCTGCAGCCAACAACCTTATCAATATCTATCCGTCACTATAGAATCAACCAGTTTATCCAGAATTTGCCACACATGGCCACTTATTTATTGTAATTGTATTTTAAATGCCGGTGGGTGCAAAAATCATTAGCCTTCTGTATATCACAATATCCTAATTTTCCACGCCAGCACAAATATAACAAAATGTGTTTTGTTATTCAGGCCATCTTTGTCAATAAATTGGGAAATGTACGTTATTGTCAGTCCGCCATCTGTCAAGCGAAAGCGACAGTGATCGATTGCAGTTTAACTGCCATGGCTTTGTGAATGAATTCAAAATACTTGAGCTCCTGTAAGTAAGAAATTGATCTCGTGGCACTGGGGTTTTGATTTGTTTACATTTCCTATTATCTGAGGTTCTTTTTATTTGGCGTGCAATGAACACAAGGGCCAGTTGTTAGGTGCAAGGGTCGAGTGGGGAGACCTCACAGGTCTATCAGGTACATCATGGTATAGAATTGAAAATCAAACAAATAAGCAACATGGCACAAGGAAAACAAACAGATATTTGCTGGAGTTAGAGGGATCGGCAAAGATTCGATTTCATGATATGTTTAGAATGACATGGTAGATATCAGCACGTCCAATTCACCCATATATGACATCTAGTACAATAAAGTATGTGAGACGTTTCATAGCTTTAACAGGCTTTCCGATTCCCCATGTTCAAATGTCTAAGTACTTTGTATGAAAATAAATCAAAATTTGTAAATTAAGTAAACACAAACAAAATATCAAACTATGTTTTGACATTACCAAAATTTGGATTTTGCCAAAATTATTGTCACAATTTCTTATTCAAAGCCTAATATTTTTTCTGGATATTATATCAATGTACATGCTTGTGTGATGATAACTAGCATTCCTTATCATGATTATAATAAATTTACCTACTTCTAAACTAAATTGACACTTTTATTTGTGAGACAAGCCCTAGAGCTTATGCTAATGGTCAAGTAAACCCACTGGAGATTCCGTCATTATCCACTCCCACCTGTCCTAATCTCAACAGTGACCAGGGTCAAAGACTGACCCACTCACTGACCAACACTCTTCATGACATATTACACCCAAGTAAACACTCCTAATCACTTCACCTCTGCAGATAAACATCGCAGATCCGGTCTGAGCAGACATGTTTTGCAAATGGGGCAGCTTGGCTGATTTTCATAAATAAAATTGAAACCCCCCAACAAATATCAATGTCAGACAATCACTTCAAATATAGGGACTTCCATAAAGTTCAAATATATTTTTGATATCTTTATTTTCATAAGAAAATAATAATTATTTTAAAATGAAATTTGAATGGATTTTGTCTTCTTGTATTTTGGACTAATCCAGTTGTCTAAGTATGTTTACAAGTTTATCATTTCTCTATCCTTGAGCTTAAATGTAATGACGCATTTCTGAAGCCATTGATTAACAAAAACTAGATTGAGTGGCCTTGGGACATCTGGAAAAATCTCTGATCAAGGGAGGAATCAGTTAAACAAAGCCCTACTAAGTACTCAATAGAGGCAGGTGACAGGCAGACATTCACAGATAATGAATGATCCCTCAGGTAAAGATGGATCTGTGATAAGCTACACTCAAAGGTTGAAACTGCCTACCTGCTGTAATTGTATATCAATTAACAGGTGTGGGCTAGGTTTTATGAACCATCACATACTACAGAAATTAACAAGAACCCATTTCAGAGAGAAATTAACAACTGATTCCAATTGAGCTGAAAGCTATAATAAATTCAATGCAAAATGTAACATAAAATTGTTTGATAAATCAACAGTAATTGAAAATTATTTGACACACTAACATCAAATGCTCTTTGGTAAAAAGGAAAGAGAAAGAAAAATATGTTTTTGGTCAAACATTAGGGAATAAATCTCTC